GCAGCAGAGGAGAAAGTGCAGAGGGAGAAAGAGGTCGGGGTATTTGTTCTCCGCACCCCTCCCTTCTGGGCCATGGTTTTGGGGGCCTTTGTCCCCCCTGTATCCCTCCACCGTGGCTCACGGCTCCCAAAGAGAGCGTGGCCACCGCCCTTGCTGGATTCCGGGGCCACTGTCCCTCCCCAGGCAAGCGGTGACAATGGCTTCTCACTGTCCCCAGTCCTGGCTGACTCACCATCCCTGCTGGTTCTCTTAAACTCGTCTACACTTCTGCAAATAGTCCCTAAATTAAGCCGCCCTCGGTGAATGCTGGGAGTAGGCAAGGGGATGCCTGGAGTGTCCCTGCAATACTGCGGAGAAAGGAGCCTGAAGGCAGGAGCCCCCCGGACTTCACTGATGCTGGGTTCCGCGGACTGGGAGGGGTCGGGCGGTGGTGCCTTGAAGACCCAGCACGGCAGGAGACCCGATGGTTCAGGGGTGTCTGGGGCAGACAGGGGCACCATCTCCCCCTGCCTGGAAGGTCCCGGAGCCAAGGGATGGAGACAGAAGTGAATCCTCCCGCTATTAGACCTAACGACCCACGTACGGAATTTCTGCTTCTCGCCCTTGTCTCCTCGGACCTGGTGGCTTTGAAAATTCTTTGGGAGGCTGGGGTGCCTGCGGGCTCAGTCAGTTAAACGTCCGACTTCGGCTCAGGTCATGATCTCACGGTCTGTGGGTTCAAGCCCCGCGTCGGGCTCTGGGCTGACGGCTCAGAGCCTGGAGCCTGTTTCAGGTTCTGTGTCTCTCTCTCTCTGCCCCTCCCTGCTCACACTCTCTCTCTCTCTCTCTCTTTCAAAAATAAACATTAAAAAAAAAACAACAACACAACTCTTCGCGAGGGAGAGGAAGTGCTTCCCCCAGGGGTACACGGGTGTGGGTCTGTCAGGCTAGAAACTGAGATCCTCCTGTGGTCATTCGGGCTGCCTCGTGTTGAATGCGGGGGCAGAGAAGGGGCTCACCGTGCCGCCGGGGGCGGGGGGCCCATCCCAGGAGCCGTGGGAAGCGGGGTTCCCTCCACACAGCCGGGGCAAGCGGCTCCCTGGGGACCCCCGTCCCGTGCCCCCCACTTCTGCAGGTCTGAGGTGGGGCATGAACTCAGATCCTAACAGACTCCCCAGCGACGCTGACGTTCTCTGTCCCGAGACCAGGGTCGGGGCGGTGTTGCCCTAGCGTGCTCCGAGCTTCCAAACACGCCTCCACGTGAGGCCTTCAGACCCCTTCACGTTCCCTGTGGGCCTGTGGAAGCTGGCGGCCCAAAGAAGACCGGGCACCAGGAGTCTGGATCCTCCACAGATGAAGGTTTGGGAGATTCCACCCGATAGAATACTCCCGAGAGCCAAGGGAACGCAGGAGGTGAGGGGACGTGGAGAAGGTGCTGGAAAATGACACCACGCTTCAAGCCCCAGGCCTGGAGGGGAGGGCCGTAGCAGCTGTGCGTTATAGGAACCGTTTCGTTTACCCACCTAGAGGCGGGTACGGTCCGGGTGGGCAGTGGGCCCAGGTCGGTATCGCCCCTCCCCTCGCCCAGACAATATGGCGGCAGATGGGCCTTCGTTCCCCTACGTGGAGGGCATATAATTTTTCCCCATCCAAGCAGAGTTCATGAACGGATGCTGAATGTAATAGGGGTGGGTTGTACTCGTTACGTTTCGTTTGCTCCAGAACGCTAACATACACGAACCGCTTCACCCAGGGCTCCCAGACCGTTAGGTTCTGTTGTTTTTGGCTGATGGAAGGTCCAGAGGAGAGGCTGGACGGGGGAGTGTCGAGGTCAAGGTATGTGTCTCCCTCCACGCTCTTCCTGCTGGGCTGCAGTTCGGGCACAAGTCTTAACCGTCTCCCTGTGGCCACGGCTCCTGCCGGGTTCTGAGAACATTCCTTCTCCTTGCCACGTCAGGCCAAGCTGGCCACGGCTTCCCCCCGTGCGTGGCCTGTGTGGTGCTTTTCTATCTGGTGTCGCTTCCCTCAGCCCTGCCTGAACTCTGAATAGTCTTTCGTTAAGCCCTCGAAGCATAAACACTTTGGCTGTGCCCTCTGCTTCCTGCCGGGACGCTGACTGATTCAGGGCCCAGACAGAAACCCCGCGGGAGGGAGGGAGAGCCTTAGCTGGTGACCGTCCAGGAGTGACACGCAGGGGGAAGGCTGGCAGAGCTGAGGCCGTGTGTCCCCCTGGATGCAGATGACCTGTGTGCGCCCAGGGAGCTCAGCTGGGGCACCCGTCCGCAGGCCGGGCCATGGGCCAGGGGGCCCCGCAGGTTGTCACCCATCACAGGACCAGTCCACAGGACCGGTCCTCAGCGGCGAGACCGCGGGGCGGGAAACCACACCGGCTTGGCAGTCCTCTCCGGCTGGTGTTGGAAGCAGGACGGGCCCCTTTAAGGTTGGGTTGACCTGGAGGTCTGGGATGATGTTTGGGCGAGGGAGACCCGCGTCTTTCGATTCAATAAAACCACGTAGACGCGAGTGACTAGTTGGAAAAGACCGAACAGAGACGGTGGAATTGATGCTGCGAGCTGGTGAAGCTCGTGGCCCGTTGCTCAGGTCGGCCCGTCTGTGCGTCCTCAGGGGCCGTGTTTCCCCCGCTGACTGTCGTCCTGGTGTCCCGCTTCTGCCCATTTTTGTTACCCCACCTGCACTCTGTCGCACCGCCCACCATGCAGATGGCCCCAGACGCCACGCGAAAGGGGTTGTGTGTCAGACTTTACTGAGGGTTTGGAGTAACGGGGAGGGATTGTAGCAGAGCCCTTCTCCCCTTCTGTGTGGCGCGGAGTTTCTGTCTGGTCCCAGTTTCCCTTAAGCCTCGAGCTGTGGCCAACCCCACAGGCCTCCCTCTCTTTCTGCTTCCATTCCCTCTCTGCCAGCTTCCAGTCTTCAAACACGCTGCTCATTTCTTTTGCGGGACGGTTTCTCTCTCCATCCACAACCCCAGAGCTCACCTCAACTAGCCAGGAACTGGCTCAGAGGATCTGATCGCAGAAGACCCCCCTCCTCCTCCCTTAGCATCAGGGAGTAGCGGTAGATGCCTGGAGTTCCCCTTAACGGGGCCAAAGGCTTAGACAGGCGTCCCTGGCCTACGGCTTTCTTAGGTGGAGGGGGTGTAGTTTGAATATTTATTCCCCGCTGTCCTGAGCGAGCTCTCGGCCTTCGTCACCTGCGTCTCCTGGCACATGCAGAACAGGGAAAATGAAAACGATCCAAGTGCTTCCTGATGGGAATGTGGACAATGCACCAGACGGTTCATCCACGGCCACCGAGAGGGTAACGGGGAAGGCCGTGGCAGCGGGCTCCAGAGGTAATGTTAGGAGAGAGTAGGGTTTTAGGTTATGTAACTGATGACATTTCTAAGGAGTGTATCTTGCATTCGGGCAAGGGTCAGAAGGGGGCGTATGGATACACAATGAAAATCGCTGTTTGATGGGAGGCTTGGATGGGGCGTGAGTTTTTTATTTTTCATCTTTTCTGAAATATTCTTCCCTCTTGCCACCAGAACCAAACAACAACAACAACAACAACAAACCAGTCCAGAGAGACGGTGGGAAACACCCACAGATGTTAAGTGTGGAAAAGAGGGAAGTGGGGCCAGGGATCCCGGGGGCTGTGCTTCTCTAACTCCCGTGTGCCCGGCCGGCACTCAGCGGGTCTCGCCCACAGGTTCCTGGGCGCCACCCCCCAGGGACGCTGGCCCCGCAGGTCCGGGGTGGGGCCCGGGTTCTGGATTCCCAGCATGCTCCTCACCTCTGGAGATGCACTCTGTCTCTCACCACAGTTCGGGTGGCACGGCCCTAGGGCGCCTGATCGTCACTCTTGAGGATTCTGAAGTACCTCCAGCCAAGGCCTTCCAGAACTTTCCTTGCTCCTGGGGCTTGCTATTAACTGACGGGGAGACGGCGCTCATTCACGCTGCAAATCCCTGCTGATGCGCTTTTCACAGAAGTGCGTGTCTCTGAGGCAGGCTGCACAGTGAAGGCTGCCGCTGGGCCTGGGGCAATGCACAAGGTCCTTGCTCTAGATCCTTCTCTCAGAGCCTCCAGCGCATCTGGGCTCGCTGCCTCTCCCAGCTGTCCCTTTGTGCGTCCCACCTGGCGTGTGCGCGCATGTGTGGGGGGAGGACAGCCGGACAGGCCCCGGAACGTGCCTGAACAGCCGTGGTCTTGTTCATTTTCGGGGTCACCTGGTGGTGACGGTGCTTTGGAAACCTGTTGCCCAGGTGGCCTGGGTTGCAGGGGGGCCCGGAGCGGGGATGCCGGTGAGGGGAAGGGAGCATTGGGTTTCCCCACAGGTGCAGGTCTGTCCCTCGGGGGTGGCCGGCCACCCCTTGCGGGGACGGCATAGATGCCTCGGAGGAAGGGGCTTCAGGCAGTCCAGCCTAACTGCATACCGTGTGTGCTTAAACATATGACAATGACAGTTGTGTAAATCAATAGACAGCATATCCCTTGAGGTCAGGTGCTGGAAGAGGTTGCTGTGAGTGTCCCTTTGACCAGGGGTCCCGGCCGGGATATTTGGCTTTGGAAGCGGCCCCGGGAGGTTGAGGAGCTTCCAGGGTCCCAGGCTCTGCGGGGAGGGGGCCCCAGAGCCCACGCACTCCCGGCTCAGCCCCCTGGCTTCTCCCCGGGGTGGGGGAGTCAAGGAGTGCTCCTTCATTCCGTCCTCACGACAACCTTGTGAGGTAGACGTCACTCCCTCGTGTCACAGGTGAGGGAATTGGGGCTCAGAGAGGCTGACCGAGCTGATTGGGGTCCTGTAGCGAGGAAGGAAGGGGGCCGGGATTCGGGACCAGCATTGAGGGCTCCGTGGCCACAGATGTGGGTGACGGCCGAGGGGAGGCTGATGGGACGGGAGGAGGCGGCACAACGTCGTGCGTACGTGTGAATTGGGCTATTTAAAAAGACGTGTAAAAAGCGCCTGGGAGAAGTATATCAAAATGGTGGCTTTGGGGAGGTGGGATTATAGGTGTTATCTTCCCCTTTCCTTCTATTTTTCTGTATTTTCCCAAGCTCCCAAGATGCCCATTTAATTTATGACAGGAAAAATAGACCCCTCTGCGTTTTAGTTAAAAAAAAAAAAAAAAAAAAAATACTGCCCGGAAGCAGCCCTGTGCCTCGTGAGAACACCGGCCTCCACCTGCACACCCACCGGCCTCCGGGCCAGACTCGGGGTCAGGGGGCTGGCGCGAGTGCTGCTTTGCATGTTAAGGGCAGACGGTGTCCCCACAGCGAGGGCTCTGTTGCGTGATGGTGCGTGTCTGCCCTGGATCCCCTCCCAGAAGGTGCGCAAGAGCCAGGGACGGGGGCCACCCTGTCATCCCACAGTGAGTCCCCGCGAGGGACGGCCTCTGCGGGCCTCCGGGGCCCGTGCCGTTGGCATGTCCAGGCTGGGCCGCCCTCGAGCCCCCCTTGGCACCCCACTCACTTCCCTCTGGGGCTCCAGAGGGAGCAGCGAACCGCCTACATCCCGGCTCCATGGGCTTGCAGGCGGACAGCGGGGGGACATGGGGTGGCCAGGGGACACAGGGCAGCCGGGGGACTCAGGAGTGGCTGGGGGACTCGGGCGGCCGGGGGACACGGGGCGGCCGGGGGACTCGGGAGTGGCTGGGGGACTTGGGAGTGGCCGGGGGACTCGGACGGCCAGGGGACACGGGGCGGCCGGGGGACACGGGGCAGCCGGGGGACTCAGGGTCCCCCAGCCGCGCCTCAGTCATCCAGGTGCTGCTCCTCCCAGGTGGACGTGGGGATAGCGCTGTACGGGTCCATGATGACCTTGGCGCAGCGAATGATCATGACCACGAGGAAGAGGCAGAGGAAGACGAAGCAGGCCAGGGTCAGCCCTTTGTCCACGTCCACGAAGACGGGCTCGGGCGTGGGCTCCTCCATGTTGGGGCTGCAGCTGCGGGCTCCTCCTCCAGCCCGGGGTCGACAGGTACCATTTTCCACGCCTGTGGGGAGCCAGGGCCGTGGGGAGGCAGGGCCACAGCCCGGCCGGGCGGGGGGCGGGGGGCGGGGGGGTCATGCCCCTGGAGCGACCCCTCGCCGCCCGGCCCCTCCTGAGGGCGTGAGGGGCCCGGGACACACGCATCCTCCCCGGGACCCAAAGGCCAACCTCGTGGGCGACCGCGGTCTGTGGCAGGGCCTGTGCCGCCCGGGCAGCGGGGACAGGTGACCGAGGACAGAGCTCCCGCACTTGTCCCTGCCGCCCGGCCCCGGGGAGGGCGATAGCATGACGCCTCTGGGTCTGCCCGGCGCCGACCCGGGGTGCTCAGAGCGGTGCAGGAACGAGGTCACGAGTGCGTTCGCTGCAGCAGCAGAAGCCGTTTGGCAGCGGAATGTTGAACGGAACGTATGGACGGACCGCACAGGAGCCCCTGTGCCGGACGGGGTCCCACGGAGGGTCTGCGCCCTCCCCCCACCGAGGGACAGGGGCGGAAGCCACAGGGGTCGTCAGAAGACCCGGTTGGGCGATCACAGGGACCCGCCTTGCGGGGAATGTCTGTCCCGCACGCCTTCACCTCCCTGCTGCGGGCGGTGACGAGGCCAGCGCGGTCAGGCCGTGTCCCAGGTGGGGATGCGCTCCGTGGTCCCTGGCCCCCGGGGCGGGGGGGGGGCCGTGCTCTGATGAAGGGGGTCTCCCCGGGGCAGGGCTGCTGTCCCCGCACACGTGGCCTCCGCAGGCCTCTCCCTCTGCTGGCGGGAGGCAGAGTGGGGACCAGTCTCCCCCGTCCCTCCGGACTTCAGGACCACACGGAGGTGAGCCTCGGGCCGGCAGGTCCCGGCATATCCATCACCGCCGGTGACCGTTCTTCCCCCTCGCTCAGATTCCCCCCGTCCCCAGAGGGCACTGACCTGCCGGTCGGAGCGGTCACCACGTCAGAAGGGCTGCCGGGTGGCCCGCGCTCTGGGTCAGGCTGCTCTGGGAGGGCGGGGGGTGGGTGGCCGGTCGTGACCGCGGGGAGCCAGCGACAGCGGCGGCCTTTCACTCAGGAGGAGGCACCTGTGCGGGTGGTGGCTGCAACAGAAGAGGACGAGAGCCCGTCACCTCCTGGGACACGCGGCCCCGGCACCACCTGGTCTGGCAGGAAGGGCTGACCCGGTGGCTCTTCACCGGGCACGGTGCCAGGGCCGAACGCTTTATTCTAGTGCTGCTTTTTCAATCTCCTTCTTTCTTTCAAAAGCTATAGCGTTTCAGGGGCGCCTGGGTGGCTCTGTCGGTTAAGCCTCTGACTCTTGATCTCAGCTCAGGTCTCGATCCCGGGGTCATGAGTTCAAGCCCACGTTGGGCTCCGTGCTGGGCGTGAAGCATTTATTAATAAATAAAAATTACAGCGTTTTACAATTTCTCGTAAAGTATACATCACGTAAGATTTTCCACGGTGTGCATTTCAGGGGACTAAGGACACTGGCAGCGTTGGGCCACCCACCAGCCCCACCGTCCGCCTCCTGAAGTCTTCATCCTGCAAAACTGAAACTCGGTCGCCATCAGACAGCTGGCCCCCGGGCACCCACCGCCTCCTTTCTGTCTCCGTGCACTTGGCTCCTCTCGGGACCTCACGGGAGTGGATGCTGCAGCCTCTGTCCCTTTCTGGCGGCTCACTTCAGTCGGCATCGTGTCCACCAGGCTCATCCGTGCTGTGGCAGCCGTCGGGCCTTCCTTCCTTGCTAAGCTGGGTAATATTCCGCTCCGTTCCTCCACGGATGGGTAGGTGGGCTGCTTCCAGCCCTTGGCCGTTGCGGACGATGCTGCTGCGAATCTGTGCGCGCGGGGGTCTCCTGGGGGCCCCGCTTCGATGCCTTGAGGTGCGTAGATCCAGAGCCGAATCGCCGGATCGCTGCTATTCTAGTCTGTTGTTACCTCTTACCCGTTTTTCTCTCGGGTTTTTGGTCTCTCTCTTGACCGTGGAAGCACGGAGTTGAGATTAGTATTTTATTTGTTCGTCTGATTTTTATTTCCTGTTTGTGACTTTTCCTTTATCCCTGAGTCCTGCGCCTGTGTCTCTGTTGTCTTCCTCCGCCCGATTTTCGTGACTAGTATTAGCCCTTGGTTGTTTCTCTGTTCCTGGCTGTGCTTACGTTTCTGTAACTGAGCTGCCAACGTTCGATGTCCTTTCGTTCCCAGTCATTACGGGTGAAGGCATTGGGGAGCTCATCCCAACTTCCACCTTCTTTCCCTGTTCTTTACGTTGTAGCCAGTTCTGTTATCTCACCCTTCCATACTGTTTTCTAATCTGCGTTTTCCGGTTCGACACATTCAGTGCTCGCCTGGGCCTGCGGCTGGGGTTGCCCGTCAGCGCAGATGTTCTCCAGTGCGACTCTCAGGAAGGAAGGGCTCGTGGGGACAATACTCCCTTCGCTCTTACCTGTTGGCTTCTTTGAAGGTAATGTGCCTGTGTGTCTCTGACCGCCTTAAAGATCTTCCCTCCGTCTTTGGTTCCCTGTGGATGATCTGGACACGCTCTTCTCTGTATTCCCCTCTTCAAACACTCGTCTGTCCTGTTCTCTCTTTCCCCTTTCCGGCCCTCCAAGTACACATAGGCCTTTTCGTTATGTCACTTTGTCTGTTACACTTTATTTCTGTGTTTGCTTTTCTTTTTATGCTGTTGTCTGAATGCTTTCTACCGAACCAGCTTCCGGTCCGCTAATCTTCTCTCCTGCTGTATCCAATTAGCTGCTAGAACTATCTATTCAAATGTTCATTTAAGCCATACTTTTCAGCTGTATAATTTCCATGTGAACCTTTAGAAAAATGTTCCAGCTCTCCAGTGGGATTTTCCACCTTGTTAGCTACTATCTTGAACACAACTCATCACTATTTTTTAAAGACCACATCTGATAACTCTAATGTCTGGGTCATCCGTGGGTTTGCTTGTACAGTTTTTTCTTTCTTTTGGTCCAGTTTCTTTTTTTCTTTCTAATTGTTTTTAACATTTATTCAGTTTTGAGAGAGAGAGAACGTGGGAGGGGCAGAAAGACAAAGGATCCGAAGCAGGCTCTGTGCTGTGAGCACAGAGCCCCATGCGGGGCTCGAACTCACAAAGTGTGAGATCACAACCTGAGCCGAAATCAGGAGTCGGCTGCTTAACCTTAAGACTGAACCACCCAGGCGCCTCTGTTGATGTCTTTCTTGATACATCTATGATAGAAATTTCACTGGGATGCCAAGCACTGATAGAACAATTGTCGTGGCTCCAGATGGCATTACCCTCGGGTACAGGAGGCTTACCGCTTTCTCTGGGAAGCAGCTAGAATTTAGGCAGGTGAGCTAATCCAATATGGAGCTGAGCTCACTCAGCTGGGGTCCACGTCTCGTTAACCAGGCTAGTGACCACGTCTGCTTTGACAACACTTCTGCGGTCTGGCGCTCCAGGGTTCTAGATCGAGAGGCTGGAGTTTCCCTGGGCTGTTTCTTGTTGGCATGCCTTGAATTCTAGATTTCGTCTCCAGGGCCTTGAGACAGGTGAGTAGCGTGTGAGGTGAACTGCTCAGAATTATCCAGCCGCTGATGTTTGAATCTCTGCGAGGGCAGGAAACCTAACGGCGCTGGTGGTTAGCTGACGGCCACTCGTGATTCCGCGGGAGCCCCGGCCTGGCGGGGAGGACGCCTGTGCCTGGTCAGAGTTCTCCTGCTCCTTTGCGCCGGGATTTCGAAAGATGGTCATTGTTGCAGCATTGTGGGGACGGTAAAAAAGGGACAACAAAGCGAACGTCAGTATTGCAGTGGTCACCGCCGTCACGGTCTGAATCTGTGTCGCCAAATACTCCGAGGCCGTTGAAAAGGAGCGCGTGCACACACACACACACAAACGAGGGCCAAGAAATTTTGCCAAGTGAAAGAGTGGAGGACCAGTCCTTCAAATATGACATAGTTCGTGGGAAGTAAAAAGAACCTTTGAAGGTCGATATGGATGCACGCACGTGTCGGGGGCGGGAGGTTGGTGCCCTGCTCACGGCTCGGCCGAGACCCACTCCTGCTTTAATTGTTCTGGAGGTTTAAGACAAGTGCAAACGATGTTGTAATTAGTGCCTACATCCCATCATGCAGAATCTGTACCCTATTACCTGAGCATATCTGCTTTGTCTTTTCCCCCCAGAAGTACACCCGTCTCCTGCAACCGCTAACCCACAGAAGCAATCCAGCTACCCTGCAGAAACACTACCTTGAGGGTGGTGTGCCTCTTCCTTTCCACGCATCCACAGAAATCCTAGAGTTCCTTGAACCGTACCCTGAAAACACATCTATCGCACACGCAAAGAGACTGGAATATGGGGAGCAGGAGTTCTCTCGGAGTCTCAGAGCAGTGAGAGCTGAACTTGGAGCCAGCCCGCCTTTCTGGCCCCGCCAGGCCTGTGCCGTGGGCTCTGGGGGGCTCTCAGGGAAGGAGGGATGTGCCGGACGCTCACACCAGGACTCGGTCCGGCCTCAGACACAGACTCTACGATCCCAGGCCCAGGATCTGCCGTAAGTTCTCATCAGACACCCTGCATAGGTTGTAGAGGTCAGACTTCGGAGAGGCTGCCTTTGGACCACCTCTGTCTTGTCTGGGGCCGGGGCAAGGGGCTCTAGAACCTTGCAGCATGCCCCAGATTATCTGTGTTTTCTGGATCCTTCTGGCTGGGACGAACGCCAAGGATGTGCACTCAGAAAAAGATTCGCCTTTCCGCCCTCCAGATGGAGTGTGCTCATTAACCTTAATTACCGGGCAGGCGCGTTCCCTCCGGCTCCATTTCAGAGAGAGGACACGACACCCAAGAGAGAGTGGAACGCAGAGCTCAGCCGTGCTATGGGAGCTGAGGACACGGCCCCCCCCGGAGGCCCGCTCAGGGGTCCCCAGCATCACGGAGTTGTCCTTGAGCACGGAGCCTGCACCAGCCAAGGGGTCCATCTGCCACCTTCTTGGGGAGGCGGGAGGTGAACCGGCTTCAGAGTCAGGGATTCTGGGTGGGAATGAGCCTCCAGGGAAATGGCTCTGGGCTTCCCGGCACACTTAGCCCAGCGCGCGGTCTTGGGATGGCGGGCTAGTGGCTCCAAATGGAGGCGAGTCCTGCCCAAATGCCACGGTCCAAATATAGAACCTGGAAGTAAGTATCTGAGTTGGGGCTTTAGGGAAAACTAGCAACAAGGGTACACAGATCCGCGATTTGCGTGTACATTCATGTCCCAGCCCAGGGCTGGGGTGAAACACTCAGGCCTCGCCGTCTGGGCCGGTGGGTTTCTTCGTCTCTGCGCCCGTGTGTGTCTTCGTCCGCTGGGGGGGACGCGAGCAACGGAATGCCAGCTTCTCCCAGTTCTGGAGGCTGGAAGTCCCGGGGGAGGATCTGGCGGGTTTGTTTCTTCCTGGTTTGTAGATGGTCACCTTGTCACGGCGGCCCTGCCTCAGTGTGTGCGCGCAAAGAGAAGGAGACCGCTCTCTCTTCTCTGTGTAAGGCCACCGTCTTATCAGAGTAGGACCCTGACCTTTACGAACTCATCTGACCTCCTGAAAGCCCTCTCTCATCGCCCTGGGTGTCAGGACTCCAACAAATGAATTTGGGGGCGGGGGGCACCATTCGGTCCGTGGCCACGTAGGAGTTCCCCGGGGAAGGGTCCGCGTCTGACTGGGGGGCACAGGGAGGCCTGGGGCCGGGCCAGGCCCGCACCCTGCGGGGGGTTGGTAGATGTCCGGAAGATGAGGACCAGTGTCTGGCTGTGGTCCCACAGACACCGATAGTAGGAGGACGGGGTGACTGGAACAGCCACTTATTGTTGTGGGGAGAAACGGCGGGCCGTGCGGACTCGGGGAGCTCATGCAGATACGCGGATGGGAGCTGCTCACGTGCCAGCACCAGCCGCTTCTGTAAATAGAAGAGCCATTGGGAAAGAGCCACCGGGAAAGAGCCATTGGGAAAGCCGAGTCAGGGTCAGGTCCCCAGATGGCAGACGGGTTACATGCACGGCGTGTGCTCAGGACAGAGCAGTCATCCGGTGTCTTAACCTCACACTGATCACATTGTCCTGCGTGCCTCTACTTGGTGGCCTCCCTCCTCTGTCAGGGGGATTAGCAGGCTGGTCAGAGGGAGGGATGGGTGCGTGTTCAGAGATGATTAAGACGGTGACATCTTCCAGATGGACGAGAGGCGTGGAGGTGATAGGATCCATGCAATATTGTGGTTACGACTTGTCTCCCGATATTCATCCGTTCACTTAGAAACAGAGTGCGCGAAAGCGGGGAGGGACAGAGAGAGAGCGAGAGAATCCCAAGCAGATTCCGCATCGTCAGCAAGGCCTTCCAATATTGAAACCTCTCTAATCTCTAAGGAACCTTCCAGAACAAGGAGGCAGAATGAAGCAGCGGTGTTTTGGATAAAAGGCAAGAGAACACGTCTGCCAAGAGCATGCCTCGTCACCGCGCCATGCCTTGATGAGCCCTCGCACGGTTCTGCTGTGTCATTCTATGATAGATGCTGCTGCGGCTGGTGTCCCTCGGATCTGGGGTTCCCTTCGTGCAGCGAGCTCAGCTCCCAGCCTCCGCGCGGCTTGCTCCCGGCAGCTCACATCTACGGTTTCTTACCAGCCAGCCCTGGGGTTACTGCAGCTGCTCCCTCCCGTGCGTGCAGAGAGCTGGGCGTCCCCGGGAGCTTACGACACCCGTGCCCTCAAGGGCCCTCCGCCCATCCAGATTGCAGAAGATGCTACCATCAGGACATTCGCTGTCAGGAAAGCGTGTGCTGGACGGGAGGCGCCGGGGGTGGGACCGGACCGCCTTCTGCCAGTGCCGTACAGATTAGCTGGGTGGCTCTGGGATTCCCCCAGCCATCTCAGCAGAAGCCAGGAACAGAAATGACATCCTCCAGAAAAGACCTTTGGAAGACTGTCCCGTGGAGTAGGGAGAAGCCCTGTGACACACATGGGCAATACACACAGGCTTTGAGGCTGTTATACCAGTAGAAACGCTACCAGCGTGGGCCGAAAAGGACAGAGAAGAGATTGCATGAAAGGTGGCCGCTGGGCTCTCAAACTTCTACAAGCAGAACACAGGCTGGTAGGGACAGTTGCCATCAACGTGTCCCACCCTTCAGGAACACAGAAGGATGATCCTTAGGGCAAGGGCCTGGGCCCAGAGGGCTACGGATTATTCCCAGGCCCTGAAAACGAATGGCTTTCCTGGTGGAGTTTTAAAACGGCTCCGGACGGTGACTCCTTTCTTTTAATTCGTTTTCTCTTTTGAAATGGAAATGTGTGTAACTGTTATCCTGTGCCTGTCCCACCAGTGTATTGTTGGAGCGGATAGCTCATTTTCCGGGTCCCCACAGGTAGAAAGGGATTTGCCCCAGGATAGATCATATGCAGAATATCACCGACACCTAACTTAGACAGTCGAGAAAAGATTTTGGGTTCGGGTTGATGGTGTGATGGGTTGGAATGGGGTGAACACATAGAGGATGGGCTGGAATCTTTGGAGGCCAGAGAGTGGGCTGCAGGAGGCCGAGTAACAGCCCCGCGAGAAATCCATAGCGAATCTTTGGGACCTGCAAATGTCACCTCAAGTAGCACAACAAACTTCGCAGATGTGATTGAGTCAAGGGTCTCGAGATGGGGGGATTCTCCTGGGTTTCCCGGGCCACACGGAATCACAGCGGTCCTTGCGAGAGCGACGCGGGGGCAGCTCTTGACCGTAGCGGGGAAGGAAATGTGGCCGTGGAAGCAGAGAGGGGGCGATGGGGCCAAGAATGGGCTCTCCCAGAAGCCACCGGAAAGAACCAGCCTCAGTTCCTGCCCCCCGCCCCAGACTCATTTTGGACTTCTGACCTCCAGGACTGGAGCAGCCTGCAATTACGTGGTTCCAAAACACCCGGGCTTGCAGCAGTTTTGTGCACAGGCAAGAGGAAGTCCCGATCCTTTTGATTCTGACATCCGGTCTCTAAAAGGCATAAGGCTATTTTTGCCTTCTTTCCCCATGATTGGAGAACCGGAAACCAACCAACCAAGGGCACACAAGAACACGCTGTCTGGCTACTGGGCGAGGGGTGACTCACGAGCAGGCCGTCAGAAAAATAAGCTTCCTTAAAAGGGAACTGAAAGCCAAAACGAGGGGGAACGTGTATACCGGCCTGGGCGCCGATGCAGTCAGACGAGGCAGCCATACAGCTGGGGAGAGGGGTGGGTGGGGGGAAGACATCGCACAAAGACGTGGAGAGCTGCCGTGGTGGGGAAACTGAGGCACGGGCCCTGGCTCCAGAAGCCCCAGCTCTTCCCCGCCGGCTGACCCACCATGCACCACAGCAGCGAGAGGCCAGAGCAAGGACGTCGGCCGGGACCCCAAGACACAATGGGAGGGGACAGGGCAAGGCCATTCTTGTCTTCCCACTAAAAGATCTGTGTTTTGAAGTGACCCTAGTGAACTTCTCTTCCTCACAAAATCACTCTCCAGGGGCGCCCGGGTGGCTCAGTCCCTTAAGCATCTGACTCTTGATTTCGGCTCACGTCATGATCTCACGGTTCATGAGATCGAGCCCCGCTCTGGGCGGGATTCTCTCTCTCCCTCTCTCTCTGCCCCCTCCCCCACTTGCTCAACACTGTCTCTCTCAAAATAAATAAATAAACTTAAAAAATAAGATAAAATCAAAGATAAAATACAATCGCTCTCCAACATAAAACACCTTGAAAATCACCAAAAAGCCAAGGGTAGCACCACACTTCTCCAGAATGCTGCGTGAGGCAGTGCGACGTCACGGGAAAACTCAGACTCCGGAGACTCACTGTTGACTAGCATAGCCCCCGGAAGACATTGCCCCATTCAGTCCCAGTCCCCTTGCCTGTAAGATGGGGGTGTCCTGGGGGTCCTTTTCCGGGCCACGTCTTCCCTTCGCCCGTGAGCACAGGACAGAACGTACCTTGCAGGCTTTCAGTTACTCCCGGTCTGCTCCGAGCCTGCCCGCTGTCTGTTTTACCTCTCGGGTATCCCCCCACATTCGTGGGGACCCCCATATTCGGACCTGTGCCTGCCTGGATTCAGCTTGCTTCGGGGCCCCCTCTGTTTGTCAGCACCCGTCTTCGGCACATGACTTCAGCGTGCAAATGCGGATCTGGGGTCCGGGCCACCTGACGTCTGCTGTGCTGGGCGAGAGCTGCTCTGGTTCATCTGTCCCTCACTCTGTGTCCCCGTCTGGCCTGAGCTTTGTCCCCACGGGCGACAGCATCCCCCGAGGCCCTCCCCACGGCGGCCCCATCTGTGCCTTCCACGGCACGGCTCCAGCCCACACCTGGCCCCGGACAACCCCGACCTCTGGGGCAGGAGGTCAGGGTCCTGTCCACACTCTGCTCCGTTCGGTGCCTCTGCTATTTCCAAGCTTCCTGGGAATTAACGAGAAATTTTCTTATGCCACAAGTAAAGAAAAACAAGCGAATGCAAGTTATCTTCCAGCCCTTCAAGCAAAACAAAACGGCTTTAAGACGCACCTTTTGTACCACGAAAGGAGCCAAAGTGAAGAATCCAAGGGGAGGAAACCAGGAAGAGAAGATTAAAACCAGCAAGGCAATAATCTACAGCATAGACAACTGTAATACAGGCAGAAACACGGCGACGCAAATGTTAAAAATAATTAAAAAAAATTTTTTTTTTCAACGTTTATTTATTTTTGGGACAGAGAGAGACAGAGCATGAATGGGGGAGGGGCAGAGAGAGAGGGAG